GTTTCACAGTGTCTTGGAATTATTTCCATTTTCTCCTGCTCCATGTTTCACAGTGTCTTCCATAATCAGTAGCCTAGCTGCTTCCTAATACACAATATCGATATCGAGTATATACTGTGAGAAGCTCATTCAGAGAAATTAGCATAAAAAGAAGAAATCTCTAAGCTCCTTTTCTGTTATTTATCACTTACTTTGTCTTATTGCTCCAAAGGTCAAGGTCAAACTGGCTGGGCAAAAAATATGTGACAAAATATAGAAAATGCAAAGGATAATGGGTGAGTTCTAATCTGAAGTTTAATGAAGTACAAAATGTGAATGTAATGAACAGGAAAAGAAAGAATTGGGAAAATGAACAGGATATACACACAGCTAATGTAATTTTGTGGACTCTTTTATGCACCTAACCTTGTAAAGAAGGAGTGAAATAATCAATAAGTTAATATTTCCCAGCTTCCACTTATCTTGATCTAAATGTCAATGTTATAGTACAAACTATGAGAATATTTGCATTTGTATCTTCTATTTTTTAGCAGCCTTATTATAATTTAGAAGATTGAATTTCTTTATTTATCTCTTTCATATTAGGTTGTTTTGTGTACTTTTTCAAATATTTTCATATCATAAATCTCACAAACTTCTAGATACCTGATTATTTCAAGAATATTCAACAACAACAACAACAAAGCTTCAGGGATTAATAAATGACTGAATATGACATCTTGGACTACACTTTCATTTTGGACATCCGAGAGGCATTCCAGTGCAGATGGCTGGTCATTAAAGCATTTCAGTAGCAAGGGTGCTAGTAAGAATCTAACAGTGTTGAACATTTATCCAGCGTACAAGTCTCTGGCACTTTGCTTATGACTTTGTATTGCTTTGCAGTCACCACAGTAATTACAGCACACATAAAGAGAATGGAAAGAACTGGGCCTGACAATAGTCCTTTTGCCACTGAAATATCAGTTTAGATCTCTTTAGTGCTCACAGAACTACAGATTGTTTCTTGATGGTCTTTAATACAGCCACTGTTCCTTTTCTACATTATCCTTTGATGGCATGATTGCCATGTTCTACGAGTACTGCAATAAATTTATCAGTAAACCTCTTAGAAATCACATAAACACACTAAATATCTCTGTTAATGGCCTGAGCTCCACCCTAAAGAGCCTTGAAATCCATTTTATACAAGGCAGTATTAAATAAAACAATTTAAATTGAATTTCTAGAGCAAGTTTTGAAAAAGTTAGCATTTTCACAAGCTGTATGAAGAAAACAGTGAATAGATGTATCTCTGGATTGATGTGTGATCTCCCAGAAACATTACATTTCAGCACCACTTTGCAAGTCCACTCATTGACCTAATAAAAGCATGTAAGGTATTAAGGTAACATTGGGCATATTTTGCACCTTTGCTAACGTCTGCACTGTAGTGCTGGGTTGTTTCATTAACACCAAAGAGCACGATAAGAAATTAAGATTCTGTTAATAAATGTACATAATTTTATTTTACAAGTAACTTCTTAACCTGTGTGCTGTTCATATTTCACTGTCTGCCATTTGTTACTGGCTGCTAAACAGCAAAATGACAGGTCCTTGTATTTCCATGCTTCTTTTGGAAAAGAATAATCTTTGTATTTTTAAGTGTTGCTCTGTACAAAGAACAACATGGTGTTTGGTTCTTCTTTGTTTGTTATTGTTTTTGTTTGTTTGTTTGTTTACCCCCCCCCTTCCCCCCCCAAATGTATAAATATTTTCAAGCTTCAAATAGAATTAAGGCTTTACTTAGAGATATATTGCTATATGTATGTTTTAAATACATTGCTAGGAGGGTTCACATGGTGAGAAAGATCCTTTGTGTAGCGCAGGTTCTTTAGGAAAATGCTGGGACAAAGCCTATGACTTCATAAAAGACAGCATTAATTTCTTTCCAGCTGACCCTAAGCTATCTTGATTCACTTCTATATGTTTTATCCTTTTGCTGGTATCACATTTTTCTCTTCACGTTTACCATATTATCTCATCTAGGACTGATCTCCCACAGCAGTTTCTCCTACAGTGATAGATCTCTGCTTTGTTCTCATGCAAATTTTATCAAGGCTGTTGTCAGCCCTGTCACCGTGCACATGGTCAGCATGCAACAGGGTCAAATAACCCTCTCTTCAGTGGATACAAGAGATCTACTTGTAGCAGAAAGCATATTGCTTCAAAGTACAAGATTGTCTTATTTTTATTTTTCATTTTTTACAAATCCTTTTCTAGCCATGTATCACTTGCATCCTTTTGTGAATAATTAAAAAATTATTATTATTATTATTATTATTATTATTATTATTATTAAAACTGTTTGTTTGTTTGTTTAAAAGGACATTAGATAGTTTTGGGATCCTATGGAAGGCACACACTTGTTGTATTAGTCTATCAGCAATTCACATTTTTTTTGTGAGATTCCCTGTAATTACAGAGGACTGCATGTCACAATGCAGCCAGCCCTGTGCTCCCTTTGGTGGGTGGATAGCCAGAAACACAAATTGGTTCCCAGAATTATCTCCATCTCCATCCCTCTTGAATGGTGCCATAGTGGTTTCATCTCTATTCAGAAAGTGCTTTTTATTGTACTTTCTCCACAAGTTCCTTCTTCACTGAGCCCCTTGATTATAATAGTATTTGTTCTGTGAACAGCCTCCCAGGATCTCTGTGAGCTTGGATTTTTCCTCTAATACAAGTTCAGAACCTACAAGATATTTTTGGGTACTCAGAAGTTCTGCCAGATCAAAATCTGGACTTGTATGCAGTTCTGGAAAATGGGAGCATTGGGTTGGTAGCAGAGAATCAAGTGTCCTCTGGAGGAAGAACTCCTGAAAGGAAGGCATTTTGGGGACAGGATGATGAAGTGAAATAGCGTGGGAGAGAGGGCAGCCCCTGAGATTCTGCCAGTAATTTGGCTAAAACTTCAAAGCTTGCAAGACTTCCTGCAGATTTTCCATGAGCCACCCTGACATCTATCCTACCTTAAACTGCTCCAGGTCATCACAACACTGAATTCATCAGTGGTCAGCTTCCTAAATTCACACATCTACTGGCTTTGGTCTAAACCCACTGCTAGAAAACTTACTTTAATATTTCTGGCTGAGCCAGCAGAATCTGAAAAATATAATTGTAAGTCACTTTGCTGACCATGTTTTTCTCAGTCTCTCAAAGGTCTTATAAATAGCTTGAATTTCTCTAAAAATGGCAATAGTGGCGATAATGAGAATGATGTACTAGACAGACTATCTATGCAAATGAGTCAGAGGAAACTTTCTTGAGATTTTAAAAAAATTGAGAATAGCGCGTGAGTAATCCTCAGTAAGAATTAGAAGTTCTGGAACATTCATATTTAGATTTTTAAAGAGTGTTTGTTTTTGGCTGCTTTAGAAATCAGTTCAGAATTGGACTATGTGCAGAAGTTAAGGTAATTGATTGTATTTCTCCTTCTCAAGTGAATGCCACAAAATCTCTGCTCTGTCAGTGAAGTATCAGTACTCAAAGTGCTGCATGTTGCAGCCATCTGCTTCATAACGAAGTGCTTGTTTCTACAGACACTAACTCACCAGATATACTCAAATATGTATCAAGCTACAGTCCAGGAAGTGGGCTAGGGCAGATAATCCTTATCCACTTGACCTGTACCTGCGTGGATCCTGCTCAGCAAAGAATTCAGAAAAGTTCTTCTAAGTGGCTTTTTCATCTTACTCCCTAGGCAAAATCAGCCTAAAATAAATGCTTCATGAAAATTTATGGACCGGCGGCCCTAGAAATTGATGTCCTCTACATGTACAAATTACAGAAAGCATTAAAGATCTTTTACCTGAGTATAGTTTGGTCTCTACCCATATTCTCATCTAAACATCTCTGATGAGGTTTAAAATACCCTTACAGTACTGGTATCAAACAACAATAATAGCAGAGCCCTAAAATTTCAACTCTAAGAAAGATGTAAAAATAGAGCAAGCATCATCAAGGACATTAAGGTCTATGTAGGATTGGGATGTATACCTTTAATAAAACATTTGAGTTTTGATGAGCAGTTTCACAGTTTTATATTGCAAGCTAATTAAAAATGAAAACAGAAAGAAAGGGTGGTAAAACCTTAATGTCCTTGCTCACAGTATGAGTACTTAAAGGAGCATATGATGTCATTTAGAAAATCAATCTGCATGTAAAGGAAAATGATCAAAAGTAATTATATGGTTATATAAAGTATTTATTTTTCTTTAAGAATTGCATATTTTGTCAGATGATTCTGTCTCTAATGCAAATATAAAATGTGTAGCTATATTTTAAGTTAACATTTTGTTGCTGTGTGCTGTTTGATGTTTGTCTCCATACCCTCTAAAAAGGCATTTAATCAGGTGTTATCTTGCAGTTCTTTGAACAGGTAACATTTCTATTGTTGCCACAATTGCACCTGAAAGATGCATGTGTAAGATTATGGGCAACAGAGAAAGCATAAGCTTGCTCTTAGTTCTGATTTGTTTGCATTTGTCATGGGGAAACTAAAAAGACTGATGCTCTGATATAGAAGTATGCTCAGGAGTAAGTTAAAGTTTCATTCCCATTTCATTCATAAATAAGTTCTGTTAGTCTTTGCAAAGCGCAATTTGTTATGAGACTGGGTAAAGAAAAGCTACGTCCTGAGCAATTTGCTGAACCTGCTTTGGGTAGAAGATTTTACTGAAAACATTCTGTTACAGTTATTGAGCCTAATTCTTTAGGAGCAGAACCTATAAAACATCTGATCTCTTCCTCCAATTTTTTTCTTAGAAATACTAGAATAATTTAAATGGCTCTTCCCACAGCTTCAACACGCAGCTGCAAGAGCCCAAACTCTCCAAGCAAGACCATCCTTATCAGTGCAGAAGAATTTGGGATCTTGTTTGTAATGCAAAACGCCTAAGCAAATTGTCATTGTCAAATGCAGTGGAGAACAGAATATTCCTATTGAACAAATGACTCACCAAGAATCACAGCAACAACGGTGAAGAGCACAAAGGCATTCCTCAATAAGTAACTTTTAACATCATCCTTTGTTATGCTCTGCACCTTTTTTTTTGCCAAAAGTGTACGTTTCCGGACTCCTTGATGAAAGCGCTCCATCCTACTTCCATTTTTGGGATCTTCTCCGTTACCTTTAGTCATTTATCTTGCAGAAAGTATTCTCTTATAATAAACTTTTATCAAAATCCTTTCAGAAAAATGGGAGACCCCTTTCTATAAGTGGTGCTGGAGGAGCCTGTAAGACAAGAAATAGCAAAAACTGAAATAAGATTTCAGAGGAATGAATAACTACATATTTACATGGAAGCAGATGTTCTTCCCATTTCAATAAAACTTGTATTTGTTGTAAAACCTAAATTGTTGACTGTGAGAAGAACTCTTGGAAGGATTTTATGTACTCTTCAGACAAGCGTTATGCGTATTAAAAAGTTACAATGAGCTTGCTGTCATTCTGTAAAAACCAGGGGTAACTTTTTGTGATTCCTAGAGATAGAGTAACATGAACTGGTTACTATTCTTGGAAGTGTAAGATGCTATAGGGTCTAAAACTCTATGTCAAGTGTACTTCCCATCTGATTAGGAAATCCTTGCAATCTGAAAAAAAAAGAAAAAAAAAAAAAAAAAAAAAAAAAGCCAGCTCATCTTCACTATAAACACTGGAGAGAAATATTTTTCTTGAATTGGAACATTTAAAGTGTTCTGCACTTCAGATGTTTTTAACTGGCTGCCTGCATTGTCTGAATTCCTCCTTTTCACATGGCAAAACACAGCAGGAATCATTTATTCATCCCTCAGCCGCTATTTAGAAGGTGTGCCCTTGACAGTTCTGTGTTGATAATATTCATCTTTGAAGTGTATAAATTATTTGGAGTACATCCGTAAAGCAACAGAAGTTATATCCTACTTAGCTTGTGGTTTCTGACCATAATACAAGTTCTCTTTGCATGTAATGTCCAGCAACTACGGGCATACAGTCTGATTTCAAGAAATCATGCCACTGAATCAACCATAAAATATTTTATAATTAAAATATTATTTTCAGTTTAAGAATAAAATATTGACATCTACTTGGCATTGATTTATTTTATAATGTTGTCTGCACAAAGGTGGTTTTCAAGACCGAGAATCTGGTTTTCTGAGGTGTTAATATACCAGAATGTTTTTATGAGGAAATCAGAAATTTGTATCTATGTACAGTCAGTGAAACCTGTCTCTGCATATACTCAGCTTAACTGCAACACGTTAAGTAAATTGAGTGCCTAAATATATATTTTTTTCTTCTTTGGGAAGCAGTTAGAATATAAATACAAAAGTTTTGAAACAATTTGTCTTAGAGGAAATATCATAGTATCATGTAGCAAATTAATTTTATTGAGATTTGATCACTGTTTTTTGAATTACCGTATGTTTTGAGAGTGGCACATGAGCGCAGTATTCTCTGTGAATTTTAACAGAAGGACATATGCTTTACTTGTTTGGAGTGTGGGAACATTTGCACCAGATATTTACATTATTCCAGCCTGAATATGAGCACTAGATGCAAGATGGTTTTTTTCAGAGCAATTAATTTTCACTCTTTTGCAAGAAACAGATTCATTCTGCATGCCTTTTCTTCCCTAGATGCTTCATGCAGCTAATCTATGGAGCTCTACAGAGCTAATATGCTCTGTACCAACTCAGTGCTAAGGTCAAGAGAGAACGTGGGTATAGGCAGAAGGATCATTATACTAAGGAACATACAAAGGATAGGACTGAGAAATGAGGGCTCCCGCGCAGCTGAAGAGTCTGCTCACCTTTCCAGACCTGTGTGATTCCGTGCGCTGTTGGCAGACCAGGTTGGGATTTCCCAGCAAATGCAGCAGAGCTGCACAGTTCAGCGAGCGGGAGGCAGCAAACTGACAATCCGCGTGTGCTGGGGAACGCGGCAACTTGCTACCACTGCAACTTAAGGAAAGGGGAGGAGACTGTCAGCCCAGCTCTGAAAAAAATTAAAGACATCAGGGAGAGGGGAAAGCCGAGCTGCTGGAATATTGATGAGCCTCAGCGCAGTGAGAACAGGGTCACTTTCTTTGTTTTTTCTTTTAGACCACTTTCACGCTTTGTCAGTTCAGCTTCATTAGAAATGCAAAATCAGAACCCAGGAAGGACCGAGGATTGCACATGCACTGGAGCTGAGCGCTTCTCCACTCAGCACTGCAGGCTGAAAGCTGCAAAGCCTCCACATAATTATATAACACCATCCCTGTGCTCATTAAAATAAATGATATGATACATTAGCATGACAGCTTGTGCCAAAAAGAAGCAAGGTGTGATGCTATCAGGTATTTTCTAACCCTTAACAACGCCTATTCATGAACACCCTTCTAGGACTGGAACCAGACATATCTTTCAGAAGCAACTGGAGCACTGTCAAGAGTAGAGAAAAATGCAATCAGTTGTAATTCTTTACACATTTCCTGTAGATAATCAAAGGACGTGATGAGACTCGTCTCTCATTTGGCAATTTAAATCCACTGGATGCAAAGCCCCATTCAACCTGTTTCAATAGCATGGGATGAATGGTGAAGTGAAAAGCATAATACATCCACTTTTGGGAAATAACTGGCCTTCATTTTTTTTTTTTTTTTTTTTTTTTAGTATTTAAAAGTTTGCACTACTGAAAAGACATTTGCAAAGTAGAGCCAGGGGAATTCCCACAGATTTCTCAATTCTTGAAGGAATATTAACATTATGAATGTTGGTCAAGTCAGTTTAAATTCTTCAATAATCATAATTGAGTGTATCTGTCATTCTCATGACTTCAAGTCATGAGTTTTTAAGTGTATTTTCCCATAAGATTAACAAAATCCATAAATTGACATTTATATAAATATATAATAAAGATTACATTTATGAGATTCATTTACAGATGATGTGACTTTAATAATTTCTTTAAGTATACAGAATACTCTCACACAAAAAACACAAAATAGGTAAGAAATAAAACTCAGAACAGTGTAACTTCCACCCAGTCACACAGCTTTGAAAAGATGTTTTCTGATTTAAAAGGTGCTTCACACAACAATGTACAACATAAACAAAAAAACAATTTTACAGTATAATGCATCCACAATCATGCTTAATGAAGGTTTGTGTTTGGATTGGAATCTTGATCTTACATTTCACAAGAGAGAAAATAAGCATCTGAATGACCTTATTTTGTATTCATTTATTTTAAAAAGCAAGAAAAAATGTTAACAGCTTGTGTTGCAAGGATAGAAACCACATGCTGCATTTTTTAATACCTGGCAGCTTAGATGTCCATCTCATCATTATTTTTCCAGTGCAGTTTTTAAATATATTCACCCCCTTGCCTGGAGTTGGGACTGACCCCTTACCTGACCCTTGGCCTCTACTGATCAGTTTGTTTGATGTTTCCTTGTGGAGCATGGCGAGATTTTTGTGACACCACCCAGATAAGGACTTCGTTCTGCCCTGTATTCAAGTAGGTGGTAATATTCCAGTTGCCTTAAGCTGGAGTGACATCAGGACCCAAATGAGGTGATCCCAAAGTACACCATCTTTTAGCACTTTCATTAATAGCTCAATCTATAAGAAAAGAGAATCTTGTGAGAATTAGCTATTGAATGTGACAAGATGTAAACAGACATCAAGCAGCCTTACAGCTTAGTTTAACTTCAGCAGCGATATTTTCATTTGCTCTTATGAGCAATGGATACTGTTAAGACTGCTTAGAAAAATAGAACACTAAGGGATTTTTGGGAGTGTGTCCAAAATTTTCTTTCTTTTTTTTCCCTCTCTCTTTCCTTTCTTAGCATCCATTGCATTCATTCCTTTTGTAAATCTATTTATCTCTGATAGTGAAATTAGGAAACTTGTAAAGAATATATAAAGATTACTATCCAATATAGTACTTTATTTATAATATTATAGTATTTTAGGTATTCCTCAATAGCAATAAGTGAGTCAGAGTTAGTAATGCAGTGTCTCCTGGCAACATAATTATAACGCACCTAATGCATTTACCTTTTAAGTATATATAGCAAATTTAGCGGATTTAATGTACAATCTTTAATACCAGGACTAGGATGAGATTTAAAGTGTTACTGGTTAAGGGCTTTAATCTGTAATTTTAGCATTATAAGTTTCTAGGGACAACAACCTAAAATATAAAGCTCCTAAGAAGGTTATGGACTTTAGATTGAACCAGACAATACTCAGGATGTGGAAAAGCATCAGTATGTTCGTAGAGTAACAGCAGCATTCCATGTGTTACTATCAATGTCACACTGGTAAAATCATTTCTATGTGCCTTAGGACAAGGAACAATGTAAGGCCCTGTAAGCCTTTCTGCACGGTTATTTTAGCTCAGCACCCTCTTCTGTGCTTTGGGCTTTGGTTTCAGTCCTTTCTTGGGCAAGCAAGAGATGCACAGATAAAGTGAGGACAAATTAATTTGAACCATTTCCTTACAGGCTGTGCGGATCCACATGGTAAACTCAAGCTCTGTTTTGCTGTTGTGAGCAAAATCTGCCAGTAAATATACTTTGCACATTGGCAAAATGTCTTTGTAAACTAAGTAAAGATATCAGAGTGGAAGCTGCAGTTCAAACAGAAAGTATTGTTATTTTCGTCTGAATAGAGCTATCAAAAGGAACCTCAGGGAAATTAAAAGTAGCAAATGCAAGATGTGGAAGTGAAGCAACGAATTCCATTTAATTCCACTCTATTTCTCAGATGGCAATAAAACCTAGCTTGAGCATGCATGGATCCCAGTTGAAAAAGGCATCTCAACAACCCAAGCAATCCAGTCTTCACATTAACAAATCAGCACTATCAATTAATGCTGTCAGTGCTTTTAAAGATTCATTGTTTTAGGTAGAAGCTTAGTTAAATATTGTTGAAATTTTATGCAATCTTTGCCATAGTGTTAAAATAGGAATGAAATACTTGTGAAAAAGTATGTTTATTTATGTAATTTAAATTATATGTTGGTACATAACCAGTCTTCAATTAAGTTGGACAAAATGAGAATATATGTGATTGCCTTGCAAGCTCAAACTCACCTTAGTACCATTAGATCCTGTTGTGACAATGAAGAAACTGATGCTCTGAAAGGTGAAATTTAAGCCATATAAACT